TATTTCTTGAGTTCGGTTTGTATTTGACATATAGAAAATAAAAGATTAAAAGTAGGATGTTTGACCAGGAAAGATGAGCAAAAGAACAAATGGAGGAGATAGGGATTTGAGATTTATATAATTTGTCTATAACTATTTGTCTTAGGTTTGTTGTTTTATTGAAGATCTTTCATTTTGTACATTTATATTTTTGATCATAGAGTTATGCTACAACAAAAATACCGTGGGTTGTAAAACATAATATTTAATTTATATAATTATGTGACATTATAATTTTGTTTTTATGGATATCGTTTGGAACAAGAGCTAACCAAAACGTCATCAGACTACATATAATTAAACAAAGCAAAGATTTATTGATGTACCTCTAATAATTTATTATATGATTTATATTTTATGGAATATGTTGTCCCTTTTTCATAATTTTTAGATGTGGTTTTTTTCCCGTTTCTTACCAAAACTCGCATATTCTTGATTTATGTTGTGCTTGATGGTGTAGAATAATTCAACCTTTGGATCTTTTGCCAGTATATCTCGAATCTTGAATGTTGAAGAGGGTAGAGAAGAATGAAGAACTGCTTACACAGGTCAAGGTTGATCTTATATTATCCCAAATGTGTGTTTTACCGATAATGTTTATAATGTACTTCATCGATTTGTTCACCTTTCTTTTCCTATCGATACATGGTAAAACCCGTATGGGACCTCAGATCAATCTATATTTGAGTTTACATTTTAGTATATTAAAATACCCGATAAAAATTTCATTTTTCAAACGCATGTTATGCATTTGATTAACAAATTAAATAATCGCATGAAATAAAAATTAGTAACTGATTAACTTAACATAACAATCGGTTAATGTACACGACCTACAGACGGGTATAACATCGGGTATAACATGTTAGTTACCTCTGGTAAAGTACATTGTTATTTACAATCAATATATTCTTTACAACGTATTGTTTAAATTTTCTAATTTTGTTACGATATGGAAATATTTTTTTCAACGGTTATTGTTAGCTATTTTGTTATATTATTTTATTCGTTATGATTCTTATTGCCGTTTTTGGATTTTTACAATTAGGCGGGTTGTGCTGTTATTGAAGTTGATTCTTCTCAAAAATTGTGTATCGGGTCCTCAATAACACCAAAGAAGCGATGACTCCCACGATTTTGTGAGGAGTCTACAAAAGAAGATATTGTTAGTTGACTTCAAATTAGTTTTAAAGTGTTCTATAACGTTTTTTTTAGCTTGCATTTCTTTTTCAGTTTTCAGTTTTCATATCATCGTAGTCATAAGTTTTTTTAGAGATAATTTGAAAGTATAAACTAGATTACACATTTACTAAGAGTTTTTACATATATTTATGGTTCGAGTAAATTCAATTTATGGAAACACAATTCACATAGTGTATTCATGTTTTTTTGTCTATTAAACGATCTTTAATTATAGTAGGGGAAACAGATTATTGTTTAGGTACTATAAGCCAAAATTTTAGTAACTTTGTCCTTGTGGATGGTTTTATGTGAACCGATAACTTCCAGTGCTAACATTGAGCTCAACATTGAATAATCTTTTTTGAGTTTTAAATTGACTGAAGTTTCATTTTCAGTATTCTTTATCCTATGTTATGTATGCAACAAAAATATAAATATTATTACATGACCTTGAAAGATAATTAGGTAAATTATCATTGTATATTGCTAATATCGGAACAAATGAAAGAAATATGCTATTGAACAAATTAAAATCAATCTATTATTTATACATTAGTCAACCCGTCCACCGGACGGGTATAAAACTAGTTTGAATACGAGTACTGCAGAATACTAGATCACTAAAGCTTTATTAATAAATGAGTATATGTTTGTTTAAACGCCAATAGAAACACAAATTAATAGGTAAAAAACTATGTTCAATTAGAAAAAATTAATAGGTAAAAAACTATGTTTAATATTAGAAAATTTGTTGCATTTAAAAAAAATTGTATTTTAAAAGTAATTATGTTTTTATAACTTTTATAGATAGACATGACTCACTTCTTTAAGAAAAATTATAAATATCAATGAATTTTTTAAAATAAAAATAAACTGTTTAGTAAAATTATCATGAGTTTTAAAAAATTAATAACTAAAATAACATTAACTATATTTGATCATGTAAAAATCAAAACAAGGTTTTAATATTGGGCTTTATGGGTTCAGGGTTCCTCATATATTTTAACGCCGTCTTGGAAGTTGGAAGATACAGGATCGGAAGGACACGTGCTACGATTGGTGATGGAAGTTTGCACAACGTGGCATGACAAGGATCTGAGTCACGCTCGATCAGTGGCTTGCGTACTCTTGTTTCGTCATCGAAAAACCGTCACATTTAAATATTACCATCATCTCTAAAAAAATTTAAAGAAAGACTATAAAATAGACTTTGTTCTTAATATATTAAGAATAAATTATACGAAATATTCTCTATGTTTGTTTCAAAATTGCATTCCAAGTCCTTATATATTTTACTCCATTTGACAGCTTTTTCTTCCACAGTCTCCATTACTATCTTCTTTCTATGAAGACCAAACTCCCACGCTAAATAATGAGGAGCCTTTTTTTTTTTCTTTTCTGTCATACCAGAATTTTAGAGAGGTTGCAAAATGGTCGATGTTGATGCTTTATTTAACAAACGGAAATTCTTACAAAAACACTTACGTATTGAACATAATAGAGCTAATGAAAGACTCAATTTCTTAAAAATGATAAACACTTAATGAATTTCTTGTCTAGCATACAAAATATTGTTGACTCTTCCCAGTTGCATCAACAAAATGAAGCTTTTCAAAACTAAAACTTTTGTAATCTTATTTGCGTTTAATCATGTCTCAAGTGAGATTTAACGCTTTGACTTTAATTTCAACTAAGAACAAATTTCTTGATAATATTGATTATGAAAATGTAATAGATGAATTTGCTTCTAAAAATGCTAGAAGGTCGATGCTTAGAAAATAGACTCTTTTTCGTTGATTTTTTATCCTTTTATTTTTTTTTTTGAAAAGTTGTTTAACAATTACAACTTATTACTAATAAGTGAAGACATAATATTGTGGCAGTGAATTTACGAGATTTTGTTAGTAACTTTAAATTTTGAATTTAGCATTAATGAAATTACCTAATGATATTTTACGAAAAAAAAATTATAAAGCCGAAATCACTTTGATTTATGCACTAAGCCTCCGAAATATATAAATCGTACTAATCCCAATTTCAGGTTAAGTTGTGTGCATCGTAACCACATGTTGCTTCTTGGTTGAGTTAGACAATTGTTCGGTTCTTTACACTTCAACAAGAAACAAACGCAAGCTAACATCAAGTGTTATAATAGATTGTATTTAAATTGATTTATAAAATATTGATGGTATCATTGAACATGTAATATTGTGAATGTGACCTTTTGCAATATTATCACCATGATTTAGTTTCTTTTTTATTTTATTTTTTAGTCGGCAGACTGAAGATGTTTGGCCTTTGTACAACCATACAACACGTAAGTCGTGTTAATTTTACCTGCATTTGAGGTTGACTATAAAGGAGGGGATTTGAGGTTGACTATAAAGGAGGGGACGAGAACAAAAAATCCATTGTGCTCTTGTGTGATAGGCACATGCTCTCACTTAAAATATTCAAACAAAAGATAATGAAAAGAAGGAATACCAATGCCACAAATTTCAACCATAACGTTTGGACGGTTACTTAAAAAAGAAATTGGATCAGTAAGAATATATATATATATATATATATATATATATATATATATATATATATATATATATATATATATATATATATATATATATATATATATATATATATATATATATATAGGCTGAGGTTATTCTATTCAAAATAATTATTGTGTTATTGTATGCATAAATGTGGGCCAATCAAATTACTTATTTTAAGAAAGTGATTAATATATATTATTGAATTAAATATAATTGAAAAATATCATCTTAATTAATTACAAGGGTAATTTAGTCAATTAATATAGATTTAATAAAGGAAAATTGCATTTTTTTAGGGATCATAGATTCTATTAATTTTAAAAATCCGATTGTACGAATTATAATTCTTTTAATTTGGACATTCTGACAGAATATGTTTATGAGTATATTCAAAAATAAAAATATTCTTGAACCATAAATAATAAAAATATTCTTGAACCTATTTCTTGATCATGACTTTAAAAACTTCTTGTAGAATAACAAATTCTTGAACAATCAATTGACGAATAAAAACAAAAAATACATTATTTCTTATAGAATACGGGTAACAATTGTTAAGAATTACATTTATTGTTAAAGAATAAAACTAAAAAAACTTTCAAAACGGGAAAGAAAACATCAAATCTAACAACGACACTAATACATTCTAAAAGAATAATGTTGCTTAGAATCACTTTCAATTTTGTGGTCCGTTCTTCAAGCATCAACTTCTGTGAAAACAAAACAAAATTGTAGTTTAGATTCCAATAATGCATTAGCAAATGAAAAATAAAAAACTAAATTCCTTTGGAAAAAGATGTGGACTTGTGAATTGCACCAAAACCAATAAACAAGAATTGTAGAACATGCATAAATCAGTGAGAAAATATCCATACTCCATTCCAACAGAATTGGAATTCATGATTCCATTCCAACAGAATTGGAATTCATGATTCCTTTTATCTTCTTCATGTCAATCTCAAGAATTGTACCACAGATTTATGTTTTCTTTCCCTTAGATCACAATGTACTCCATATCTATCAAAATTCACAACTATACAATAAGATCATCAAGAGAATTGATTTTTTTTATCTATTTAACTAGTAAAACCCAATCAAAAGAAACATACACAATCAAAGAAGAGATCATCACTATTGTTCTTCCTTCTCTTTTATGTCAAATGAATCAACCAAAGCCTTCCCTGTTCTTCTCCTTTGTTTTCCTGCCAAAGAACACCACTAGAGATGGGTAAATCAAGAGAGCAACAACCCTCTCTTGGTCATCCTTGCTCATCACCGATTCCACAAGCAAAAACCACTGATTTCTTGCTTCCATTACCATTAAAAAATTAAACAAAAAAAGATGAAGAACGAAGGGGCTGCAGAAACAGCCCCCTGATCACCTGTTTCACTGCAAATCCCCCTTCCCCTTTCTGTTTCAATGGTCAATAGCCCCATTTTCATGTTCTCTTCCTTGTAAAAACAACAAACCCAAACACCCATCTTTTCCCTCTATTGATTTATGTCTAAAACAAGCAAAAAAAAAAAACAGAAACAAACCTTAAAAAAGCAGACGGAAATGCCGACTGCCACCACCCTAGACGACCCACTGTCGCCCTACAACTCCCATCTGCACCCACCGAACGCCACCACAACTTTGTTGCTTCTTCCTTCGGTCTAGCCAAACCCCAGAGGTCCTCCCTTTTCCCCTCGTTTTCTTCCTTCTCTGCTGTTCCCATCGACCGCATCGTCGCTCACCGTCGAAGGAAACCCACCGCTCGTCGATCACCGTCGATCACCGGCGTCGGTCGTCGCTGCTACGGTGCCTCCGTCGTTGCTACTGCTGCTACCGATTTGGTGATGGCATCTTCAACGGCGGGAGTGGGGTTCTTCAGTATCTTCTTCATCATCGCCGGGAAATTAGGTCAGTAGCCGATTGGATGGTCGGCGTGAAGGAGTCTTCAACCGGTGATGAAGATTGATCCTACACCGGTGATGAAGATTGATCAGATCAGTCGTAGGCCTTATATAAAAGGGGGGAATTAGGTTAAAATCAACGTAACTAGCAAAATTATAGGGAGTATTTGTGGAAGTTATTTATCAAATTACCTAATTACCCTTATTGATTTATTTAATTATTGTTTTTTCTATTAATTTTTGATTGGTCCACAATCATGCATACAATAATACAATACTTAGTTAGAATACCTGAACCTATCTCTCTCTCTCTCTCTCTCTCTCTTTATATATATATATATATATATATATATATATATATATAATTTAGTTGAATATTAATGAACAAACTTATCTTTTAATTTGGTAATACCAAAACAATTTATTGTCGAACAATATAATTTTGAAATATTCCTAACAAACATCAGTTGTTGCAGCAGCTATGGCTGCGTCTTTGGCATTGACGAACAGACACATCAAGTATGTGTGTTTCCCAACCCTCTGCTTCATCCATCTGTCAACCAACATGATTTCTACTCCGACCTTCTCTCTCAAACAAACGAAGATGAACATGTGTTTCCCCCTCCCCACTCTCGATTATTAGCAATGACAGTGATGTCGATTTCTTAAAACTACTTCAAATTCTTTTACACCTACAAAAGAAACAAATAAAATCAGAAATTTTAAGCGAAATCGATTTGAAGAAATTAAAAAAAAATCTGAAGTGGAGAAGATGTTGTCGGCGTCTGTGGTGGAGGCGGACTCGCCAATGTCTGTTGTGGCCGGAATCGGTGTCGCCAACGTCGCTATGGCCGGAGTCGAAGATAGCTATTGTCGATCGATCTCAGAAGCCGTTGGGGGTGCATGAGCAAGAAGGAATGAAAATGGAATAGTCGGTAGAATTAAATTGCAAGAAAGAAAAGGAAACGATTGGAAGGGGCTGGAGTCGGTGGTGGTGTGCTGGAGTAATCTAATTGAGGAATAGAAACGGTGGAGGACACCACCGTGAAAAGCAGATGATGAGAAGAAGACACCGCATCAGCTATAGATAGCTACGGCTTGAAACCAGACAGCCAAAGGAAAGGCAGTTTGGCTTGGCTGAAAACTACCTAAACTACCTACTGTAGACAAGCCCACTCACAATTTATTGTATGTATAATATCACTTCATATATATATATATATATATATATATATATATATATATATATATATATATATATATATATATATATATATATATATATATATATATATGAATATATGAATATACATATTCATATATAAATTTGATTTGTTCCATCGGGACGGTATGTTGCATCCCTTAAACGACAAATTCAAAGTGAGTGACCGAGATTAATTCCCTCCTTCTCAACTTTTTTTCTCAATTGAACACTCCTCTCTCTCTCTCTCTGTATATATATATATATATATATATATATATATATAGAGAGAGAGAGAGAGAGAATAGTGTATATACATTGAAATAGTATATAAGCTTAGGTATCCAATATTTTTAGGAATTTCACCATTATTTTTCCTCTAACATAATTTTCATTTGCAACTATAATATATATTGCCTATCAGATGTTCGACAGAAAGATATGATGTGAGAGGAAAATAATAGTGGAATCCTGAAAATCCTGGAAGTAAATCAAGTTAGGGGTTGAAGTTTAAGAACTTTTTATGATTACAATGTAAAAATGATACAAAATGTAGTTAAGACAGGGTTGAGTACCTAAGTTTATATATAATTTTAAGGTATATATAGGGTTGTAAACGAACCGAACGAACACGAACAAAGGTTTGTTCATGTTCGTTCGTTTAAGTTAGCCGAACAATCGAACGAACACGAACGGATAAACGAACGAAGTTTTCGTGTTCATATTCGTTCGTTTAACAAAATGTCTTGTTTATGTTCGTTCATTTATGTTCGTGAACATGCTAAACGAACATAAACGAACGAACATGAACGAACAAAGATAAACAAACACAATTGAACATATACAAACATAAACGAACTATAATATAGTAATGTAATTAAAAAAAAAAACAATTGAAAATATATGAACATAAAAAAACTTAAACGAACGAACATAAACAAACGTAAACGAACAACATAAACGAACGTTCACGAGTGTAAATGAACGAACGAGACCATTGTTCATGTTCGTTCGTTTAACTAAACGAACGAGAATTTGTGTTCATGTTCATTCATTTATTAAATAAACGAACTTCCCGCCGAACAGTTCACGAACGGTTCGTCGAACGTTCAGTTCGTTTACAGCCCTATATATATATATATATATATATATATATATATATATATATATATATATATATATATATATATATATATATATATATATATATATAAGCATCTATTATTAGGCATATAATCGTTTATGAATATAACTCTTTCGTCGCGCCGATTCGTTGAAACTACAACGACAGTTGAGAAATATGTTGCTGAGGTTGAATCTCAAGATCTCTATTTTTCCAAAATCCCAAATGAGCGTACATCTCTCTCTCTATGTGTGTGTGTGTGTCTATATATATATATATATATATATATATATATATATATATATATATATATATATATATATATATATATATTGTGTGTGTGGTAATGATCTTTTAAAAACTCATATTTTTTCCGAAAAGCCGACAACTTTTCTGTCGATTCATTTTACAAAAAAAAAAGTTTATGAAACTCTAAAACTCATATAAATAAGCACTTTTGTAATTTGTGTTTTCCATATATATATATATATATATATATATATATATATATATATATATATATGCAATGTGCATATATGCAAATTTACATTGTGGACACATTCATTACATGTTTTGCATATATGCATGTTATGTTTTTTTAACTTTGTAACGAAAGTGCTTATATATAAGCGTCTTAGAGGTGCAGAACTTTGTGTTGAAAAATATTTGTGGGAAATAGTTATCGCGTTCTCGAAAAAATCTGAGTTCTCAAGTGATCTTATCCCTATATATAGGGACAAATTTATATGAGAACCACATGTTTTATAAAGGTAGGCTCGCTTAACTATAAGCATTGTCATGTATAATGGTCGGATATTGCAAGGCCTTAACGAGTCTTTGATAGTGGGTTAGGTCAAAGACAAGTTTTGCATTTAAAAGATAATTCGGGCTTGTAGTCCGTCAGTATTCTACAAGTATTTCACGTAGCCATGTCATCATGAGCAATAATCTATTTGGGGAAGGAAAAGACATGTGAAGTTGCGATTAGTAGTAGCAATCCCATGAAAAAACAAGGAAGGGCCTAAATTTAACATAGGAAATTCATATGTCATTATCTAATTATGACAATCGATCTAGGAGGGTGAAAAGGTATGTAGGATAATATCATCAACATATAAGACAAGATGGATAATACCATTTCTTTGGTTAAAGAAGAACAGAGAATTTTAAGACTTGCACTCTTGAACCCTAAAAATGACATATAAATGGAAAATCGTTGATACCATACACAAGGGACATGCTTGAGGATGCATAAGGCCTTGTGAAATCGACATAGATGATTATAAAGATTAGGAATAAATCCATAATGTTGTGTTTCATCTATACAACTTTAGTGAGATCAATGTGTAAAAATATGTATTTTTTTAAAAGGGAACTTCCCTAACGACCGATCAGCTTTCACACACCGACTAATCCCCCGCTGCAAACATGAGGCTATGTCTCATGCCTTTGAGTCACTGCAGACAAACCTGCATAGCCACAGGGGCTTAGTAGTGCCAGGATTTGAACACGGGTCAATAATTATCTGCTATATCTTCCACATGTCTTACCAAGTCACCAAAACCCAAGTAGTTTGACGAAACGGTGATGAGAGACGACAATACTCAAGATAATGATAATGTCAGATGGTTTGACGATACAGATGAAAGTACAGTCAAAATGAAGCCCAAGTTGTTAGGAAAAAGCCTTAAGAAACCAATCAACCATTATAACGATCAAGATTTTATGGGTATCAAATTTATGGTGATAGGGCCAATGATAGCCAACAATGTTGACATTTCAGCATCCATAGCTGATTTCCAGTTATGTTCACATATAGCATGAGTGGTTGATCATGGCATATGAGTGATATGAGGTGGCAAAGATATTAAGAATATGTCATGGATGAAAAGAGCTAGTATGAGAGAAGATAGCCATGGGGTGCTAGGAGGCAGTCTGAGGAATGGTAGGATCATCATGGGGACTAGTCGAGAACATGTTAGAAGAAGATATGGTACCATTAGTGCCTAGATTATCAAGAATGGGTGATTAGGATCGTAGGATAAAACGATACAAGAGATGTAAAGATAAATGGAGAAGGATTGTATGGTAGAAAAGAATCATACTCGGTGGAGGTAGGTGGAGCATGGTTTTAGAGTAAGGAACATGTCCTATGGAAAATGACACGTCAACAGATAATGAGTTTTTGAGTATGATGAGGCCTAAACATTGATATCCATGATGGTAAACTGAGGGACCTAAATACATATATACATAAGATCGTGGTGCAAGCTTGTAAGTTACAATGGAGGAGGTGTTTAGATATTAGAGACATCCAAAAGCATATAGATGAGAGTAAGAGGGGAAAATCCAAAGAGACTTTCAAAGGGAGTTTTGACAAAAAGTGTGGATATAGAAAGAATAAGTGCGTAGAAGAAAGCAAAGACGCAAAACTTAGATGAAAGAGATGCTTCAGAAAGGTGAGTACATACAATATTGTTTTATTATATAAATGGTACGTTCAACTTTTCCATTCTATTGGCGTCTAAAACCAATCTGTCACACCCCAAAACCGGAACGGCGGAAACGTTTTGGGGTGGAGGACGTCATGTTTAGTATCACAAGACATGCATCATAGTAAGTAAAGTAATAAACAACCATTTCATTTGAAAGAAAGTGTTTACAAAGTATGTGTTCACATAACATAGACTACAAAGCAAATAACAAAAAGACATGAAGCTATACTATTCCATCTTCTGAATCCCAGAGCGCGTACCTGTCTACTGGTCTCCTGAGAATACAAGTTATTTTGAAAGCGTAGATCAACATTTAAGCTGGTGAGTTCATAAGATTTAGGTGATGTAAGTGAGTAGTAAGAAATTTGTAGAAAGTTGTAGTAAGTTGTAGTAAGTTCTGTTTAGAAAAGTTTTCCTGTTCCTCCAGAAAATCCTATATTTCCTGCTTTGATGAAAGATAAGTAAAAATGACTCAACAGTCCTTTCTATGAGTATTAAATGGATACAAGTTATATAAAACTCAGAGTAAACAAACAATCGGTTGTGTGTATCTGCCCTAAGCCCACAACCAAACAAGGAACAGGAAATGAGGTGGAAGGCACACATCCCATTGTTTGTTAGATCATTGTTGTATATAACCCTGGCGTATTCACTTGGTACTCACGGAGTTAACTGTAATAGTTCCTTTATATTTGATGAAAAGATCCTTTAAGAAAACCCTTATTTCTTATAGTAAAAATGGTAACCACAGTAGTTCCTTCTATAATCACTTAGTTTATACTAGTTACATATAATCTAATATCGAATAGATAGTTAATTGTGTAAATCTGCCCTAAGCCCACAACCAAACAAGGAACAGGGAATGAGGCGGAAAGCACACACCAACTACCTATCGGATATTAATTATATATAACCCTGGTGTATAAACTAAGGTATTATATAATTAACCACCTAAGGGCCTTTAAGTTACACTGGTTTAATAAAACGGATTAAACCCTTTACTGGTAAGTTTCTAGTTTTGTATACCAAAAGTTCCTGTTTGAAAAGTATGTTTGTGTACTAGAAAACGGTGCATTGAATTAATGTCC